TAGGAATATATTTGTCAGCCGTTCCAACTCTTTAGTCAAATGTTTGCTATCCACTAATTTCATACTTCTATGAATCATTGACTTAAAAATTCCAACCTTAGTCTTGTAATTATGGTTGGAAAGAAAATTAAGCAAAGAAACAACATATCTTGGCTTCCTATAAACATCTCTTCTTAGTTTTCTTGCTTTAGTGTTAACGTGAGACTTTGAAGGAATGAGGCCCAGTTCTCATGATTTCCATCATATGTTGGACAAAAGCTTAGCCCGTTTTCACCCGAAACGAGGGAGGAAGTCTCGTGGACTGCGTCAACATGAATAACGTATAAAAGGCAAACGGCTGCAGTACAGCGAGATTCATCCATCCTCATCTGATGAGATAGACCAACGAATCTCTTCTTCATGCACTTTCATTCGAAATGAAAGTCCCCCTAATAATACTATTAGTTTGACAAACGAATAAAGCTTTCGAATTTGGTGAGGTACTAACTGAGCACGGTTTGGCGTCGAACATTTGCTGGCCCAAAAATTGCAACAATTACTTAGTTTCACCCATGGAATGAATACAAATTTGGCGTATACGCAGTAAATATACTAAAAGACCAGGACAAAAGACCAAGTGTGCGTAAGTTTGCCTGGAATAATGTATTCTATAAGTAAAGTTGATAAAATCGAGTTGCAAATTACTACTATCTGTCTCACCCACATCTATATTCCAGCCACTTCGGCGTATCCGATCAATTTCCTCGAAGACCAGTTCGACACTTTTGATGTCATCCTGCACGGCTCCCCAGTATACTGCCAACTCTGAGTTGCTGGGACCAACTGTCGAGCTGACCATGGCGGAGGCCAACATTTCTTCTCCTTTCTCCTCTTCGTACATTTCCGTCTGGATGGGTCCATTTAATCGCTGCTGGTAAGTCGACTGGCAGAGCCCGCGAAACGGCGTCAACTGATTGGCGATCACAAAACTCGCTGTTTCCATAGCGGAACGCAACTGACTTGCCACTAACGAGGAAGAAATTATTATTTATGCATTTTAACCTGAAAATGTGTACGATTTTAGTGTGTGAAAATAAAAGTTTATTTATGCACATTTTAGTCGAAGGCTTGAAATAGAAAAAAACTAAGCAAAAATTTAAAAATATTAATTGTAACTGTGAGCTAGTTACTTTTAAAAGGATTTTGCCACCTCATTCTTAGGTAATCTAGTATGTATGAGCCTTGAAATAACAGTGCAAGCGAAACTTAGATATAGTCTAGGTTGGAACAAACTTCTAAATAATTATTGATAGATATTGCACATATGTGTTAGTATTAATTTGAACACACACATATGAACTTTGACGACATCCTCGGCATTCATTATGAGCCTGTAAGCTCATTTTACTGACCAACAAGTTAAGGCCGAGCTGATAATAAGAAATCAGATTAAGCAATTAAGGGCAATGTATCTCTCGAGCCCATTGCTTTACTCAAACGTATCATAAGAAGAATAGCCCGTAAATCACGATACTTTACTCTATGTGCTTACTTGCCTCCTTTTA